GGGCTCCTTTTTTAGGTTTAGGGGGTAAGTCAGGAATTTCTATCTAAAGGTATGTTATTGTTAAAGTATTTGAAAATGTTTAATTTTTTAGTTATGTGACTCACCTTGGTTTTTAAGCTGTGTGCCTACGTATCCTCTTATGAGAAATCAGAGTCCCAATTCGTTGGATTACGTAGAATTGCTTTCGGGTTATCCTTGAACCTTGTCCGGGTTTGAAAGATGAGTGATCGTAGACATAGTTCGCAGTTAAGTTTGAAGGCAATGCTATTTAGTCATTTTTTGAAAATGTTCTTGAGGTTTTCGTTAAGTTACTAGAAAATGTTTTAATTGGTTAGCTGTTTTAATTAAATATGGTTGATTAGGGTTTTGAATCGTTGAAGAAGATTGAGTCTTCATCAAAATTAAGTCGCTCTAGGCGAAGTAATTGATTCGACTGAGTCTTGATGAATAATCTTGATCTTTATCAGAATTAATTCGCTCGAGACGAAGAAATTTGACTTGGTCAATTTATCGCTTTGAGCGATAGCGTTTGATTATTGCTCCAGGCATAAACTAAATTTTGCATGAATTTTAATTGTTTGATTTTTGAATAATTACTTAGTAAACGTTAAGTTGACCACTTAATTACTCGAGGATGTACATCCTATTATTTGTAAAATATTTGATTAAATACCAATTGATTTATTATTGTTGATTTTTTTATTAATTAAATAACCTAAATTAGTTTGGTAACCTAGTAATTAGATTATTTGACTAAAAATGAAAATGAGTGCTTTCTTTTCTTTCACATATTTTTCTAAGTTAAAAAATCTAATTAGAAACGTAACTGCAATTAACATGACTAAATAATTTGAACTAATTAAATTAATCTAACCAAATCAAACCCTAAATTAAATTTAATTAATAGCTAAAGTTTAATCAACTAAAAGACTAAACAAAAATTAATTAGAATTAGAAAGAAACTAATTAACTAAAACAAATCGAATCAAAATAAATAATAAACTATGGAAAGAGGTACCGTGGTGCTAGTATTAGTTAGTATGGATCAAAATTACTCAGGGCCAAAAAAATATATAAAACCTGATCCAATTCATTAATTAAGGATAAATAATAGCAAAAACTACAGCATCAGGGTGCTTGACTTTTCCAAAAAAAAATATTTAACCAATAGGTGATGGACACTTGGCATTTAAATTAATTAAAAAATATAAAAAAACAAGACAGTACATATTACATACCTGATGTACAAAAAAGTAACATGATATCTCTCATTCTCACATAGAACTGTCTCATTCTATCAATTCTATCTTCTTTTCCCAATATCAAAATACACACACAAATGTCCAACATAACAACACAAATGATGAGGATGATATCAATTTCCCTTTTTATCGGTTAGATATAGTTTTGGTTTGAGTGGGTGTTGATGCATATGGTTTATAATTTGTTGTTAGCTATTTGAAAAAATTTGCAGGTTATGGTGTTGAAATTGTTCAGGAGTGTTAAAAAAACTTAGACTCACATGAACAAATGTGAAAAAAAGTTTTTTCTGACTAAAGAGGCGTGACGTTATTGGATGTGAGGATGAATTGTTGATATTGTCTATTGTCTGTGATCAAGAAAAAAATACGGTTTGAATGACTATTCAAGACAAATCCAAAAATAAATTAAAATGGATTGTGTGTTAAAAATTAAGGAACTCTATTTATAGAATTTGAAATTAGATTTAAAAATATTAAAAAAAAAAATTATTCAATATAAAAAGTTTAAAAATTAACTTGGTCAGCGAGTTAAAATTGAATATTACACCGAATAACACAAATGACTCAATGAGAAATAGTTAGTCAGGAAAAAGAAAATATTTTTTATATTTATTATAATTTTTGCACTCTTTTTTAATAAAAAGTGCATAAAATTAAATAAATATTTATTTTAAAAAATGGATTAAGTAAAAATACGAAAATAATATTTAAATAATAAAAATATGATTTTTTTTTGTGATTTTGAAAATAATTAAAAATGAAAATAGTTAGTAATAAATAAACAGAAAAAAATATCTAAAGTATATCGAGTGAGATTCGAACCCATGACTTTTCGCTTGCAAACTCTGTTTCCTTATCAATTATGTTATGTCATTCTATTCGAGATAAAAAACCAATTGATAGTGTACGAAGGGTAAACAAGTTTTTGCTATTTAAGAAATATAAATAATTTAAAATAAACTATCATATATTTTTAAATAGACAAAATAAATTGAAAACGAATATTATAAAACCCAAAATGTTTGTGTAAACCAACCAAAGAATTTTATAAAACCCAATTTGACTGTAGAAATAGAGGGGACAAATTTGGGGTATGACAAGTATGTGAGTCTTGTTTGTAGTCTTGTTTATGTTGCTGCTCCTTGCATGCAACAATTAAGGGGGGTATGACCATCTGTCTTAAGGGTTTTCTATTTCTTTGTCTAATGGTCCTTATATTGTGGGAGTATACAGGATGTCGTACCAGTTGCTTTAACATAATGTCTGGTGTGTTTTTTTTTGCTTTCGTCATATGATCTTCTAATGTGTGGTACTTCTGTCACATTGTCTTTTAATTTGGATTAGTCAAGTTAGAGTTCTTTTTGGTTTCTTGAGGCTATAGGAATATTTTCCCGAGGCTTTGTGACAAGAATTGGTTCTAAGTTTTAGGGGGAGTAACTTGGGAAAGATGTAGGTTATCTTTTTCCTCATGTACACCAACAGAAGAATATAATTAGTGTTGAGAAGAATTTTTTCTTGTTTATGTAATGAGTAGCTTCCACTGTACTCTGATAAAATTGTTTTTCTACTGCTAACTTTATGATGTTTGTAGTGGCTGGTGCACCTCTGTTTATGTGTGTTTGAGTTTATTTTTAAACCTGAGCTGTTTTTGTAGTTTATGTGTGCAAGGAGTATTGAGTTGTTTTAGCCAAAATAAGACAAAGGAGGGATTGTTAATTCTCTATTTTTGTGATTGGTATTATGTTTGGTAAAACTAACTTAACATAATCATGTAGAAATACGATGTTCTATCAAATGGAGAAACATGTTGAACAAGATGTCCTATACATAATCATTCGACATTGCGCCTGTGTACAACTTGACAATTGAATTCGTTTAGATTTTACAGATGCAGATTATTCTGAGAATATTATGATATCTTATGTGGCGCTCAGTTTAAGGATTAAGAGTTTCAAGCTTAATTCAAAGAATATTCTTAGTTTCTAATTATGGAAATAATTTAGGAAATTAATGATTGAAGTCCCAACTTTATGCATAAGTTTCTGCTGATTTGTAGCAGTTGATTTGCTGCGCTTGTGAAGCCCAATTTAGTCCAAAAGATTGCTTTAAATAGATTGCTACAAACCTAGTTTAAGGTGTGGGTTGAATTGTAACTTTTGTTTGAGTTTTAGGACTTTTGTTCATGTGAGTTGTGAGCCATTCTTGTATTGTTTTGATACCTGAGTTGAACTGTCTCTATTGAGTTATAAGTATTGTCAATCACTCTTAAGCTGCTAAGTATAGAGTGATTGTGTGTCTTCTGAAATTATTCTAAGTGTTTAGAGTTGTTCGATCACTGCTGTGATTGAAAGAGATTTGAGAAAGGTCTCATACCTATGCCAATCTTAGGTAGAAGTTAAGCACGAGTAGTGATTAAGTGAGAAGTTGTAAGCGAGAGAATTTAGTTTCGAATTGATAGTATTTAGTTTACTTCATCCTTGGTTTGGTAGCCTCCAAAGTAGGTGTTGTTGTACACCGAACTGAGTTAACAATTATGTGTGTTGTTTACTTTTGCACAATTTATTGTTTTAGATTGTTCATTGTGTTGTTAAGAGATTAGTGTCTCGACATCTCTTAGGACATCTGAGATCTGACTACCAGAATTTCACCTCCCATTTACCAACCTCTCCAATTGAACAATTCTTTTGGTCAGAAATAGGAAAAAGCCGAGGAACTCAGTTCTAAGGGAAATATCCCTAACCCAAGGCTTGATCCAAAACATAAAGAAAAGATTAGACTCAACTTTCTTAACCACACTATCCCGAAATTAGTCGGAGGGATTCTCCCCTTTGGTATCGATGAGGGACACCTCTCTCCACCAAGGAGACACAAAGCAAATGCAAGAAGCTCTACCTCATAAGATAAAAGAAGTCAGAATAACACATCTAGCAGACATAAATCTCTCCAAACACCTTGAGTCTTATGAGAGCAAGTGTCACTTCCACTTATCCAATAAAATCATATTAACCAATCGAAAGTCACAGACACCAAGACCCCTAAACTTATTGGACTTAAAGACATCAATCCATCTAAATCAAACGATTTCAAACGCCCTCTAACATCATCCTACATAAACCTTCTTTGAATTTTCACAATTTTCATCCAAAACTTTAACCTGCATATTTAAAAAAGGCAAGTAGAAAATAAGAAGAATATTAAAAATAAAATTAACAAAAACCACTTACACTCCTAGAGGACACATATCTAAATCTCCACGAGTGAAACTTTCTAATGGTGAAATTAACTAGAAATTCTCACGTAGAATTCAACCTCACCGTAACCAAAATACTTAAACGGGAGAGACCCATATTGACACTGAAAAAATTCACAAGCTAGTTCAAGCAAAGATAGATCAGAATTCACTCCAACCCTTAGTGAAATTCACGCGAAGGCCTGAAACTAACTAAAATCATAATAGTTAATTAATATATAAAAAAATACAAATGGTTCACGGACGATAGAACAAACAACTGCTGATTGCTTGTACTACAGTCTCATTCCATTTTATGAAAAGAAAAAATCATAATATAATACAAAATTCATTTTTTTAGTTCCTTATATTTTTGTCCCTCGTTATCTTCCATTTCCACCAACGTTATACTCTCCAACGCATGGAAACACACATTGTTCCATCCAACCAAAACCTTAACTTCACTCCAACATCTTCTCTCTCTCTTTCAATCCTTAGCAACATCCTCCATGGAAGATCTTCCATCACCACTTCCACCAAAAACATACACACTAACAGCAACTTCAATCTCTTACACCAAAAACCTACAAACAAACAACATCATCGTTGCACCATTTCTCATCTTCAAAAACTGCACACCAACCTACATCCTCAAAGATGTTTCCCTCACAGCTTACCCTTCTGAGATTCTCGCCATTGTAGGACCAAGTGGTGCAGGAAAATCAACCCTTTTAGACATTCTTTCAGCTCGAAGATTACCCTTAAGTGGAACACTTTCACTTAACTCTTCACCTATTACCAACCCTTCAACATTCAGAAAACTCTCAGCTTATGTTCCTCAACATGATGCGTGTCTTCCTATGTTAACCGTTGCCGAAACATTCGCCTTTTCTGCTTCTCTTCTTAAGCCTAAAACAATTGATATTGCTTCCATTGTTTCATCTCTTTTGAATGAGCTTAGACTAACACATTTGGCTAACACAAGGCTTAATCATGGTTTATCTGGTGGTGAACATAGAAGGGTCTCTATAGGACTTAGTCTTCTTCATGATCCTGCTGTTTTGTTACTTGATGAACCTACTTCTGGTCTTGATAGTTCATCTGCTTTCAAAGTCATGCAAACTCTTAAATCAACTTGTGTTTCATATAATAGAACCATTGTTCTTTCCATTCACCAACCAAGTTTCAAGATTCTCTCTTGCATTGATAGAATCTTGCTTCTTTCAAAAGGAACTGTTGTTCATCATGGAAGTTTAGCTTCACTTCAATCCTTCTTGCATTCAAAAGGGTTCACTGTTCCACATCAGCTTAATGCATTGGAATATGCTATGGAAATATTAAACCAATTGAATGAGGTTAGTCTTAGTCCAATGATTACTCTACCTAGTCCACCTGAATCAGCAGAAAGTTCTAAATCTACTATAGTTTCTTCTCTATCTGACAATATTGGAAGAACTAAAAGAAAAAGCAAAGATCTCAGGTACAAGAGTTCAAGGATTCATGAAATTTGTACACTTTTTAAACGTTTCTGGAAGATCATATACAGAACAAGACAACTTCTTTTGACAAACACAGCAGAAGCACTTCTGGTTGGTCTTGTTTTAGGAACAATTTACATCAACATTGGGTTTGATAAAGAAAGTATTGTGAAAAGGTCTGGTTTATTTGCATTCACTCTAACCTTCTTACTATCTTCCACAACTGAAACACTTCCAATCTTTATCAATGAGAGACCAATCTTGTTAAGAGAAACATCAAGTGGTGTTTATAGGCTGTCATCTTATCTTATAGCCAACACACTTGTTTTCTTGCCATATTTGCTAGTAGTTGCTGTTATTTACTCTATTCCAGTTTATTTCTTGGTTGGTCTTTGTAGTTCTTGGTTATCTTTTGCTTATTTTGTTCTAGTCATTTGGGTTATAGTTCTTATGGCAAACTCATTTGTCCTTTTCTTGAGTTCTCTTGCACCAAACTACATTGCTGGAACTTCACTCTTGACAGTGCTACTTGCAGCATTTTTTCTCTTCTCTGGTTACTTTATCTCCAAGGAATGTTTACCTAAGTATTGGCTCTTCATGCACTTCTTTTCTATGTATAAATACGCGCTCGATGCACTTCTTATCAACGAGTATTCTTGCTTAGCAACAAGGTGTTTGATATGGTTTCAAGAGAATGATCATGAGTGCATGATCACTGGTGGTGATGTGTTGCAGAAGAGAGGGCTCCATGAGAGACAAAGATGGACCAATGTGTACTTTTTGATTGGATTCTTTCTTTTTTATCGTGTCCTTTGTTTCTTGGTTTTGCTTAGAAAGATTTCAAGATCTAAAACTTGAAGAACAACAAGTGAAAATGGTAAGCATATAAGAATTTTCTTCAATTATTATTATCCTTTATCTGGTATGAATTTGTTTAATTATTTCATCTTGTTTATGCAAAATGTATATAAGTATAATAATGTGAAATTCATGCAGCAAGAAAGAAAGTTTATTTTTCTAAGATATGAAATTGACTATTTCTTTTCTCTTCTTTGGTTGTAATGTTAAATCTTATTAGTTCTTTATTTGGATACATATTATTTTGAATGATTTGGTATGGTTATATCATTTTCTTAGATATATATACAAGTGGATAAATAGTACTTAAGATTATGACATCTCATGTTTTATCACTATATGATTGATCAAATCTTAGATATATACATGCATTATTTTAGTGAAAATAATCTAATATTAAAAATTATAATTAAAAAGAGATGATTGTGATATGTATTTTATTTTCTCAAATGTAATAGGGAAATCCACCTAGATATATCTTGGACTATTCAATTGATCTATTTGTTTATCTTTGTTGAGATGGGGTCACGGGTCTCATTACTTGAAAAAGTGAGAGAAGAATCCACAGCTGTCATCTTCATTCATAATGAAAGTGATTTTTGTCACTTGGCTAAGTTGTTGCTGCTGATCCATTTTTTGTCTGCTATCTCTGAGCTATAGTGTTTGTGTTCACGGGTTCTTCATTTGTGGTATCCCGTGAACTTACTCTTTTTTTTTAGTTGAGTGTTGCATTGGATAAAATGAACATGTCACTTTGAGTCATAGTAAATTGTACTTTTCAAAATTTCAACCATCCAATAAATAGTACTAAAGTTTAAGATTTTTAGTTACAGATTTGAAAATAAATTTTAAAATGTTATGCATTAACTTTTTTTCTTCCCAAATACCACGTTTTAATCAACTTGCTCGTTCACCTATTGAGCGAGCGTATGCGGTAGATTCTTTTGTTTTAGATACTCGTCTATCCATTACGCAAGTTGGTGAATATTTTAATAATTTTTTGTTTTTCTTATTATTTATTATTTAATTTTCTATAAATAGTATTGTGTGTTTATTTGATATTCACATCATTTATTTATAATTTTTTTTCAATAATCAGATTTTGAAAAAAAAATGCACATATAACTATGTTTTAAACAAAATTACGTAAATAACCATGTTCGTTCAGCACAATACGAATACACTCACATATCCCAAATAAATAATAAATAACCAAGTTTATTTGATATTCCTTATATAATTAATTGTATCCAAATAAATAATAAATTTTGAATCTTTAATACAATCACAATATTTCTCTAATTTTATTAAATTCACATCTCATTTAAATATATACCGGAAAACCGTATACTATGCTATGTTAATTGTTTTGGATTGGGTCTGCACTTGGCCCAAACCTCATATAAGGTCTAATTCGACTGTGCTACGTGGGATAACATGTTAACGAAAACTGTCTCGACTGGCTCGGGCAGTAACCTTGTTCTTCTGGTCGACATGGTTTTGCCTTACAAGGACAATCCCAGGACTGGCGAGGAGGGGCGAAGACGATCAATAGGGCCTCACAAGCATACCCCACTCTTCTTGTCGACCAGAACAAATCCTCCGGGGACAACCGCACAGCTCGCGGGGAGGGTCCACGACAGACAGAAGTACCTCGCGAGCATCCTCCTCGTAGGACTGACTCTCAACACCTTAGAATATCACGGAGTCCTATTGGTCCCAAGAAGGCCGCATCCATATCCTCTTGATAGTTCAGAGGAGTCCATCCAGGTTGGGGACCACGTGTTGGCCCTCACTACGCACGTAGGACCTGACAATCTCCATTTTAGACCTACTTGCCTAACCCAACGATGGGGATCTTGGCCCAAGGCTAGGGCTATAAATACTCTCTCACTTGAGAGGGTAAGGTATTCAATCTCTTATACTCACTCTCATACTTGCTTGCATTACTCTAAACATCACTTTGGCACTAGAGTGTCTTACAGGTACCCCCCCACTCCACATCCAACTGCTGCTCGACTAGAAGCTTGTGGGCTTTGACAATCCTCTCTGGTCAGGTACGACCAGTGGCACCGTCTGTGGGAAACCAACTTCCCCGTCTCCATCTCAAGAATAAAGCAACTCTCCATCAAACTCCGTGATTGTCATGGCTAACCAAACTCCCAACAACAACCAAAACGCCCATCTCGCCGGCGTCAACAACAACGTCGGCGACAACATTGGTAACAACAATGCTGGGAACAACATTGACATGGTCGGTCTCAAGAAGAACTATAGAGACAGGTTGACCGCCTCTTCGTCATCTTGCTCTCGACCGCACGAGGATGCTCATCTCCCCCAGAACTATGAACCAAATGCTTTCCAGAAGGTCCCCGTCCCCGCGGGCGCTGTTGCCACGACCAGAGCTTTGTTCGCGATCATCAACCAAACAAACTACCTGATCTTCTCTCAGGGTGAGCGACTAAGGGTGCTCGGACAGACTCGTCGACCCCCCTAGAAGACACAGGAGATCTGACACTCCTTTTCCCCGTTAGAGCGAAGACCGTCCTCGATCTCCCCTGCGGAGACACAGACGAGACAGATCGCGAAGCCTTTCTCCCCGATGCAATGGGCAAGTCCCCGCATTGGAAAGAACACTGCCTGAAGCCACCGGGAGACGCGACCATACCCCCCTTATAGGAAACGACGATCCCCTGAAAACAATAGAAATGGGGGAAACGGAGAAACACAACCTCGGCTAAGGGATCCTCCTGGCAACCAAGGCTGTCACCACGACCACCATTACAACATGTCCCCCTCCTGCTCCCCATACAGAAGCGACGAAGACGATCCTTGCGGTCCCTTATCCCAGGCTATCATGGAGGCACCCATTCCTATAGGAATGGAGAAACCTCCCCAACTGAAGGAATACAACAACATTGCGGATCCTGTCGACCACATCGACAGATCTGAGGCAATGCTTCATTACCATAATGTCGGGGGACCGATCAAATATCGATTGTTCCCCACGAACTTGAGAAAAACAACCATGGACTAGTATAAGAACCTCGCCCCAGAGTCGATCACCTCCTAGAGAAACCTCAAGAACCAGTTCATCAGCTCCTTCCCTACGTCTCGTCGACACCTGAAGACTGAGGCTGCCCTTGAGGCTACCGTCCAGAGAAGCGAAGAGACCATCAGAGAATACATTGATCGGTTCAACCGCGAGGCCATCTAGGTCCCGTGTACCGGTAATATGAAAAGGTACCTGCTCGAGAGAGGATTCCTCCCGGGCACTAAGTTCAGAAAGGTCGTCGGCATTGAACCACCCTGGTCGATGCTCTCCTCGAAAAGTCAATGGCGTACATGGACTACGAGGAAAAGGAAGCAACCAATAAAGCCCGTGAATTGAGGAATCACGGACCAGGAAACGTACGGTGACACCAGAACGTAGGCCCTTCTTGATGGACGGGCGAGAAAAGAAGGGATAATAAACCACACGATCCCCACGAGCACAGAGGACCAACAGAGCGATTCACTGAGTACACTCCACTGACCATTTCCCGCGAGTGCATCCTGGCGGAATGCTCTAATACCGACTTCAAGGAAGACGACGTCAGGCATCCTCGATCTGCTCTTGTGAAGCCCGAGGCTGATAGGACAAAATACTATCAGTACCATCAGAGTCACGAGCACCTGACAAAAGACTGCATCCACCTCAAGGATGCCATCAAGACCCTCATCAAGGGTGGAAGACTCGGGCAGTACCGATGCAATGACGCCCCTCGTCGAGACACACACGAGATGAAATAAGTCGAGGAAGAAACTTGACCATCAGGTGAGTCAGGCCCCATCTAGTAGCTTTCTCTGTGACAAGGCCGGGGGACTTCTATGTCCCCAACAACTACGAGGACGAACCCTTGTCCACACATAGCAGATGGGAGAAATTCCCCTCTGTTATGGTCATAAATGGCGGAGGATTCAACGACCTCTCCGTAAACCCCACGAAGAGGAAGCTCGACGAGTTGGTGGACGCAACCCCAACCCAAGCGGCGACACTCGAGAGGTTCAAAGGAAAATATGAACCGATCACTTTCTACCTGGAGGAGTTCCCGACGGGTCCCCCAACTCGAGCACCCCCTACTAGTGAAGGAAAGGATGGCTAACTTTGACGTGCATCGTATTTTGGTTGACAAGGGGAGTTCCTTCGATGTCATGTACAGTCATTTGTTTCGAACCTTACAGCTCGACGACACCCACCTGTCACCATACGTGGGGTCCGACCTGCAAGGCTTCAACGGCTCGACCTCCAAACCGTGGGGCTATGTTGAGATTTTTGTCACCTTCGAGGAATAGACCGCCTCCCGACAAATCAAGGTGTGGTTTCTGGTGATCGACTGCCCATCTCTCTACAGCTGCATCCTAGGGAGACCGACACTGGCCGAGTTGACCGTCGTGCCCTCCATTGTCCATTTGAAGATGAAGTTCTATACCCAGAGGGGGCGCATTTCCACCATCCACGGGGACATCTCAGCTTCTAGAAGATATTTTCACGTGGCTTTCAAAGGGCAGAGCATGGTCGACACTGGAGTGCAACCGGCCAAAAGAGCTACCACTACTCGACCCGAATCGTAACCTGCTCGGACTGAAGAACAATTGGCTCCACCAAAGGTCGACTCCATCTCGATCGACACCCACTTCAACAAAGATGAAATTGAAGCCCCCAACAGTGAACATGAACTTCTCTGACCCATTCCAGACGGAGACTTCAAGTTCATCCCCCTCGGTGAAGACCCTTGCAAAGGAATGAAGATTGACACTGGACTCTCTGACTTGGCGAGGAGGCAGTTCAAAGCTTGCTTGAGGGAGAATGTGGACATGTTTGCATGGAGCGCTACGGAGATTCCCGGACTCGACCCCGAGGTCGCCTGTCACCGACTCTCCATTGATCCAGTGGCTAGGGCAGTAGTGCAACATAGACGTAGGCAGTATCCTGAGAAAGAGGAGGCTGTTGAAAATGC